AGTTCTCGTAAGGAAAGAAAGTAAAAATAAGGTAAATAAAACGCATAGCATGTGATAAATGCTATGCTATAACTATGTTATAGTTAGTGATAAAAGCTAATAAAAACAGTGAGGAAGGATGACAGGATCGGATGCAAAGGGGAGGAGGTTGTAATTCTAACAGCTTGGTGAATGAGACGAGGACATCTGAATCAGAAGGGGCAGGACCGAGCAGGATTGACAGAACGTACTGGACAGTCTCTCCAGAGAGGAACAGCAAGTGGAACAAGGAACCACAATGGGGAGAGGAACCAGGCTTCAGGGAGGCCAGTGGTGCTGAAGGGAAGAGGAACAAGGGGAGAGTAGTTCAAAGTATATTCTAGGCTCTTGCAGAGGGCAGGAAGGAGCCCAGCTCATTCTGGAATTCCCTAATTCACCTCCCTCCCTCCTCTCAGCATTTAGGGAACATCTCCTGTGCCTACATAGCTGCAGATACGGATACTGTACTGGACAAGACTGCGTTGCAATTGTCAGAACCAGAACAAAGGGTCAGGGTTCAACTGGAAGCAAGGCTAGATTATCCCACACTTAATAAAGCCAGACCAGGCCTTAGATCCCTGTCTTCAGACGACACACAGATCTTTAAACCAGTATGGCTCAAGGCTACTGGTGGTTCTCCAAGGGGGCAGAAGAGAGCCATAGAGAAGACACTAGGGTCCCCAGTACACTGAACTTAAATATATATAATTATACCAGGAACAACTACACATGATTTGAAATTTCAAACAGAATAAAAAGCACCTTAGATTTCTAAGCTGCTGATAATTTTAGACATCACTAGCCCAACCTCTTCATTTTATAGGCAAAACATAAGAGAAATGACTTCTTTCTTTCTTTGTTTCTCTTTCATTGTTTTCTCTTTCTTTCTTTCTTTCTTTCTTTCTTTCTTTCTTTCTTTCTTTCTTTCTTTCTTTTTCTTTCCTTTCTTTCTCTTTCTAAGATTTTATTTGTGAGAGAGGGTGAGAGCATGAAGAGAGAGAAGCAGACTCCCTGTTGAGCCAGAAGCCTGCAGAGAGCTGGGGCTCCATCCCAGGATCCTGGGATCATGACCTGAGCCCAAGGAAGAGACTTAACCCCCTAACCAACTAAATTACCCAGGTGCTACGAGAAGTGATTTCTTAAAATGACAGAGGGAAGGAGAAACAGTTCTCTGGCCTATCTGGCCAGTGTTCACTCACTCTTTTCCTTCTTTTCTTTCTTTCTCTTTTTTTTTTCTTTGTAAACTTTACTGAAACAAGGACCCAAAAAATCTACTTAAGACTCAAAGTTGTTCCTCTCCATGGAAATCTTTAGTAAAAGGCAAAACATTTATATGATCTGAAGAGAAACCAGAGTATCCAGTGCACTCTTTTTTTATTCTCACTGAAAATTTCAGAATAAGGTTATAGAAAAGCAAAGCTATCTATCTATCTATCTATCTATCTATCTATCTATCTATCTATCTATCTAAACAGAGTACCTGGAATCAAATGGCCTGGGTTTGAATCTTTTTTTTTTTAAGATTTTATTTATTTATTCATGAGAGACACAGTGAGAGGGAGAGACATAGAGGGAGAACAGGTTCCCTGCAAGGAGCCTGATGCAGGACTTGATTCCAGGACCCTGGGATCACGACCTGAGCCAAAGGTAGAGACTCAACGACTAAGCCACCCAGGTGCACCACAAAGGAGTATTTTTTAAGTTGTCTTTTAAAATCACTGTGATCTAAATGCGAAGTGAAACTGTGCTAACTCACAGAGCACAAAGTTTAGGGCCAGAGCTCAGGCCCTGCAGGATCAATTGCTTTGGGGGGAAGATTCCTGGAGAGGAGAACAGTGGCAGATACTACTGAAAATGCAGAGAAAGTGGGAGAAACACCCAAAACATTAGTCCTTGACGCACTGATGTCTTCCATTTGGCTGGTGACAGCAAGAGAGGAAGCAAAAGCTTTCGACATCAGAATGGAGATGTACCCCAGTTTTCATTCACAAACCTTGAGTTATGTAACATGTAAAGCAAGTAGTTGAACTTCAGTGAAACATTAATGTGAGTTCAGTCAAACTAAACTCTTTTCTAGAGAAAACAAAATGAAACATGGTTAAGAATAAAAAGCACACGGGGATCCCTGGGTGGCACAGCGGTTTAGCGCCTGCCTTTGGCCCAGGGCACGATCCTGGAGACCCGGGATCGGATCCCACGTCAGGATCCCGGTGCATGGAGCCTGCTTCTCCCTCTGCCTGTGTCTCTGCCTCTTTCTCTGTGTGTGACTATCATAAATAAATAAAAATTAAAAAAAAATAAAATAAAAAGCACACGGAAGCACAAAAACATTCTACCAAACTTTTGAAATAAATCTCCAGAGGAAATCTTATTAAGAACATACGATAATTAAAATAAAAAAAACTGATCAATTAAATATATAGGAAAGAATCCATATTCTCAAAATAAGAAAACCAGAACTTATTCACGTTTCAAAGACCTATCTTGCAGATCTTAAATTTTGGATGCAGCAAATTATACAGTCTCTTGACAAACAATTAAGAATTCAAGTTCATAGCACCAGCTTCCTCTGAAGGAAATTTTCTATTGATTTGTAACTTGGCCTTGAATTTGACCTGTGGCCTTCATGTCATGATAATTTGGGTCACTCTGAATATGCCATCTCTTGAACAAGAGCCTCTGCTAATTTTAAATGAATGCAGCTGCCAATTTGTCATTCTTCTTTTTGCATCACAATATGTGGGAGTAAATTTGCAATTAATAAAACATTTCCAGCAGTCAGACTGAGGAAATGAAGGACATTTATCTAGTTAGTTTAAAAAGAGATGATTCATTTTTGCCTTTTTGGACATAAAAAAGGGAAAACACTGTATGTCTTTGAGGGCTATGAAAGAGGCCAGAATTATTTTCTGGGCTACAACATCTAAAAAAGCCATGCAACTTGAATTAGGTTTAAGTTAAAAAAGGAGAAAAAAGGAAAAAAAATTTTAAAAAGGAAAAGATAGACAAGTTTATAGCAGACTAAAAGTTTTCTTTCTCCCTTTCCTTTCTTCTTCCCTTCTTTCCTCCTTTCCTTCCCTCTCTCCCTCTCTTCTGTCTCTCTCCTTTCCTCCTTTCTGCATATCTTTCTCTTTTGGGTTCAATGAAAATGAATACTTCTCAAATTTGATTCATAGGGGAGTGCTTGCATGTGGTATTAAGTAACTGAACCCTTAGGGCCTCTAGTCTATCCTGCATTAATTAATCATTTACTGTCCTAATATAGGGAAACAAGGGTCCTACTAGGGTGTAGACTAGGAAAGTGAGGAGTGTGGAAGCTGGGTCTTAAGAGAAACGTGAAGGAACTTGACAGAAAAACTGGGAGAGCTGGAGGAGGAGTTCGGTCTCAGTTGATGGGTTTTTGAGTTTGCTGTTTTCACTGTGTAGATTGTTCCCTCCCTTACTTTCCACCTGTTGAAATTCTCCTAATTCTCTAAGGCCAGATTGGATAATCATGTACTGTGAGAAGTTTCTAGGTTCTCTTAACTAGGGGCCATCTCCCTACTCTGAACCCCCACAGCACTTGCTGCTACCTCTTATTTTATTTTTTTAAAGATTTTATTTATTTGTTCATGAGAGACACACACAGAGAGAGAGAGAGAGAGAGAGAGAGAGAGAGAGAGAGGCAGAGACACAGGCAGAGGGAGAAGCAGGCTCCCTCCAGGGACCCGGATGGGGGACTCATCCCAAGACCCTGCGATCAGGACCTGAGCTGAAGGCAGCGGCTCAACCACTGAACCACCCAGGTGCCCCTGCTACCGGTATTTTAATACTAGTGACGGTCCAAGTTATCTAGGTGAGGTTGGTCGGGGCCTTGAATGCTAAACTAAGGAGTTTAAGGAAGCCATTAAATTTTGGAGGATGGGCATGATTTAGCTATCAAAGGCAGACTAAGAAGGCGTTTCTGGTGTAAACAGGAGGTTAGGGGATCCCTGGGTGGCGCAGCGGTTTGGCGCCTGCCTTTGGCCCAGGGCACGATCCTGGAGACCCGGGATTGAATCCCATATTGGGCTCCCGGTGCATGGAGACTACTTCTGCCTCTCTCTCTCTCTCTTCTTCTCTCTGTGACTATCATTTAAAAAAAAAATAAATAAAAAAAATTTAAAAAAAGGAGGTTAGGGGTACATGAGACTACGGTCTCTCTCTTTTAAAAGCTTATTGCTATGCACCAGCTATTGTGCATGGTTACCCCAGCTTAGAAACGGGGAAGCCAGGCTTGCTCTCCCACACGGTCACTGCGCCCCTGAAACCGTGTCTTGAACGCGCAGGAAGGGCCTGCTACCTGCCACGTCTATGGACTTGTCCCCTCAGTAGTGTTTTGAGTCCACGACCTTCCCGGGACAGTTTCTTCTCGCAACTCAAGAGCTGCGTGCCTTTCCCCCGCTTATTGTTTCAGATTTGGGATGCATTTTTTTTTTTTTTTTGACCGCGTGAGCTTAAGGAACCTTAATGAGCTAAAGGGTGGCCACGGGTGGAGATTTCAAGAGCTTCCAAAGGGCATTTTTCGAGCGCTTTAGACTTGAAAGGCGGGTGACAATGGTTGTAGAGAGAACGGCCAGAGCCTGCAGATTTTTCCTTTTAGCAGCTCTATTCTCATCCTCGCGCGCCGGGGCTAGGGGGCAACTTTTCTGTTGTTTGTTTATGAAAGAAATCGAGAAAGGGAGCGAGGCTCGCCGCCGGTGGCACCCAAGGGCAGAGCGAGGGGCCGCGCGGATTAGGTGCGGCTCCCCCCCGGCGCGCCCACGGCGGCCGGGCCCGGCGCAACCCCCTGCGCCAAGGGGCGGGGCGCGCCCTGCGGCCACGCGCGCGGGCGGCGGGGTGGGCGTGTCCCGCGGGCGCGCGCGGGCGGTGGAGGGGGCGTGTCCCGCGGGCGGCGGCGGCGGCGGCGGCGGCGGCGGCGGCGGCGGCGCGGGCTGGGTGCGCGGCGCAGCCTCCTGTGCTGGAATGTGCGGCTCCCGCGAGCTCGCGGCGCAGCAGCAGAGCGAGCGCCGCCGAGGCCCCGGGCCACAGACCCCGGCGGCGGCGGCGGCGGCGGCGGCGGCGGCCGGGACGGCGGGGCGAGAGCCGGCGGTCTGAGCGCTCTCTGCGAGCCCCACTCCTGGGCCTTCGCGGGCCTCGACGTCCCCAGCGCCCAACTTTTCCATCCTCCCCCTCCCCTCCCCCCGAAACTCCAGCAACAAAGGAAAGTAGTCGGCGAGGGAGCGGCGACGGCGGGTCGCCCGCGCCTCCTCGCCGGGGAAGGCCGGTAAGCGCGGCGCAGGGCCGGGGGCTCGGCCGGGTGGGGGAGGGCCGGGCGGCGGCGGCGGCGGCGGCGGCGGCGGCGGCAGGGGGAGGGCGCGGAAGGACGCGGAGCGAGGCGCTGTCCAGGGCTGATTTGCAGATACTGTGGCTCCGGCGGCGGCCGCGGCGCGGGGCGGGGGCGGGCGGCCGGGCGGGATCGGGTTACACCGGCGCGGCCCGGGGGCTGGGCCGGGGGCGTCCCCGGGGAGCGGCGTGGAGCCAGGACCCCCTCCCCAGTCGCGGGCCCGGGCGCCCTCGGAGCGGGGTCCCGAGGAGCCGCGCCGCCTGCGGCCCCGGCCCCGGCCCCGGAGCTGCCTCCCCGCGCCCCCGGCCCCCAGGTCCCGCCGCAGCCCCTCGCCGGCCCGCGGCCCTGTCGGCCCCGCCGGCCCCGCCGGCCCCCTCCCTCCGCGGCCTCTCCCTTGCGCCGGAAGGCGCCGTTGAGTGCGGCCGGGCGGGTTGAGTCAGCCCCGCGGCCCGGGCGGCTCCGCCAATGGGGCTGGACAGCGATTTCTGCTCCTGGGCCGCCCCGCCGCCGCCGCCGCCGCCGCCGCCGCCCCCCGCGCCCGGCCGCCTCCGCGCGCGAGCTGGCGGGACCGGGGCGCGCGGCCCGCGGGGCGCCGTGGGGGAGTGAGTTCTCAGACTTCCGGGGCGCGCGTGGGGGCCCCTCCGGCGCTTGGGGCCCGACGCCTCCGGAGGGCGCCCGCGGAGCCTCCCGGGCCCGCCGCGGAGGGTGAGCCCGGGGCGCCGGCGACGCGGTAACTTTGCCTTCCCCTTCCCGGACTCGGGCCCGCGGGGCCGGGGAGGGGGCGGCGGCGGCGGCGGCGGCGGCGGCGGCCAGCGGGGAGGCCCGGGTCTGGCCCAACGGCGCCCCGGGCTTGCCCCGCCGGCCCCGCTCGGCGTGGGGGGGGGGGACCCGGGGAAAGGGCTCCGGGACGAGGGTCGGGGCGAGTCCCGCGAGCCGGGGTGGGAGCGCGTGCAGTGAGCGCGCCCGGCCGGGAGGAAGCGAGAGCGCCCGAGTTTTGCAAAGAGCTGCTTTGTGTTTGGTATTTTGAGAAAATGGCCGAATGCCTATTGGAGCGAGGAATGCCGCCGCCGAGGCAGGCGCTGGTGGCGGCCGCACGGAGGAATCCGTGCAGCACGTTGGGCTTTCGGGCTCTGCTCAGGCGGCCTCCCCGACCAGCGTGAAAATTCCTTTAGGGACCGTAGTTAGGGCTGGGGCGGAGGGGGGGGGGTGCAATTAAAGTCGACGATCGGGCCAACTGCGAGGAGCCCGGGCTGCTCAGCCCTGGGACCGCCGGGGCCCTGGTTTGCGTCCTGTGATGGCATTCGGCCCCAGCCCCGGGACCTCGCAGACCCCGCTCGGCCTGTGTTTATGCACCTGGGTGAAAACCGACTGCTTTTCGTCTTTGGGGGTTTGATTGCATTCTTTTCTTTTCTTTCTTAATTTTTTTTTTTTTTTGAGGGCTTGCAGCATAACTTTGCTTGCTTTTTTTTTTTCTTCTTCTTCTTCTAACTTGCAAGACAGCGCTCAGTTTGAGAATAGCACCCTGTAGATGGGAAAGTAACGTCGTTTAAGGCGACTTTAAAAGCCCAGCATGTTTTCAAGAAGGTGATCTTGTAATGGCTTCCCCCAAGCAAGTAGGCCAAGTCCAGCACAATGCAAGAAAGTTGCCGGTCGTCGGGTCGAGCTGTACGATTACTAGCGGGTTTGAAAGTTTCTTTATATTCATTAGTGAAGTTTTGAATGCATGGAGCTTCCTTTTTTTTTTTTTTTTTTTACAGGAAGAAAGGTTCGCTTTTTTTCTTTTTCTTTCTTTTCTTTTTTTTTTTTTTGCCTCCCTTTAAAAAGGTCGAGTCATTAAGAAAATAAATAAATAAACCGAGGGGTACTTTTTCTCAGTTTATTCTTCTGGAGTTACTTGAGTTCATACGAAATTCAATTCACTTGACCAATTAATACAGGCTTCTACTTTCCAGACGTGTCTGTACTTAAATGCACAGTATGGTTATTGGATTTCTCCACTTTCCGACCAGTAAACTGCTGAAGGGGGCCAGTTGGGAGGACAGCAAGTTTACTCTTCACGTATTGAATTTAAAAATGACTTTAACTAACATGAAAAATGAAGTTCCTTAAATTTTTTTTTTCACGAGAAAGATTTAAAACTGCTTGAGGGAAGGCATGCCAGGCGTAGGCCTAGTTGATGCATGAGTTACGTCCAACAATTGATAGAAATTTTCGTAGGGATAGTAGAAGTTTTTTTGGCGACTGCAATAAAGAAAATTTGGAAGTACAAAATGTACAAAAATGTATCAAAGCCTTAATTTTAGCAGTTAACAGCATATATTGAATTTAAAGATTACATTGGAGAACTTGTTTTTAGTTATGAGGAATTACAGCAACATTTTGGATGTTGTATTTAAACTGGTACTTTTGTGTTTTTTCTCTTTCTTTCTTTTTTTCTTCCTTTCTTTCTCTTTCTTTTTTTTTTTTTTTTTTGTCTTATTTTGAATTCAGAATACAGTCATGGCCACCCAGGTAATGGGGCAGTCTTCTGGAGGAGGAGGGCTGTTCACAGGCAGTGGCAACATTGGCATGGCCTTGCCTAACGACATGTATGACTTGCATGACCTCTCCAAAGCTGAACTGGCGGCGCCCCAGCTTATCATGTTGGCAAATGTGGCCTTAACTGGGGAAGTAAATGGCAGCTGCTGTGATTACCTGGTTGGTGAAGAAAGACAGATGGCAGAATTGATGCCTGTTGGAGATAACAACTTTTCAGATAGTGACGGAGAAGGGCTTGAGGAGTCTCCTGAAATAAAAGGTGAACCCAGTGGACTGGAAAACATGGAACTGGAAAGTTTGGAGCTCAGTGTTGTAGAACCACAGCCTGTGTTTGAGGTATCAGCTGCCCCAGAAATTTACAACTCAAATAAAGATCTTCCTCCTGAAACACCTGGAGCAGAGGACAAATGCAAGAACTTGAAGAGCAAACCTTTTCGCTGTAAGCCATGCCAGTATGAAGCGGAATCAGAAGAACAGTTTGTGCATCACATCAGAGTTCATAGTGCCAAGAAGTTTTTTGTGGAAGAAAGTGCAGAGAAGCAAGCAAAAGCCAGAGAATCTGGGTCTTCCACTGCAGAGGAGGGAGATTTCTCCAAGGGCCCCATTCGCTGTGACCGCTGCGGCTACAATACCAATCGATATGATCACTATACCGCTCACCTGAAACACCACACCAGAGCTGGGGATAATGAGCGAGTCTACAAGTGCATCATTTGCACATACACCACAATCAGCGAGTATCACTGGAGGAAACACTTGAGAAACCATTTTCCAAGGAAAGTATACACATGTGGAAAATGCAACTATTTTTCAGACAGAAAAAATAATTATGTTCAACATGTTCGAACTCATACAGGTAAGAGTACCTTGTAGTCCTTAAGTTCAGTTCTCTTCTGATCGTTAATTCAGTAGGCAGTTTAAAGTAGTACTAAAGATGGGGGATTCTGGTTCTTTTTGCTGTCTTTGTGACCTTGGATAAGTGATTTAACCCCTTTGTGCTTCAGTTTCTCTCCATGGTGGTAATAACAATATGGGATTGGAGAGTGCATGAAGAAGACTTGCTTCAAAGAATGGCCAAGAGAAATATTATCAATGTTCTTGTTAAAATTCATATTCTGACAAGTTGGGATAGATCATTTAGCCAAATTAGACTTTTTTTTTCTTCTAAGATGTATTTGGTTGATAGTGAATACATCGAAGACGCAATGTAGTTTCCCAAAGAAATCGAGGATTTAGACAGGAAGGAAAACTCAGCGATTAACCCTTGCATAGAGCCATTTCACAGAAGCCTTAAACTTTTTAGAAAACTTGTCTGGGTATTGAGTTCCTAAGTGGAACAACTTGTCTCCCAAACGTAGGAATGTGAGAAGTAGTTTTTAAAAGATTGGTGGGGGGCAGCCCGGTGGCACAGCGGTTTAGCGCCGCCTGCAGCCCGCGGTGTGATCCTGGGTACCTGGAATCGAGTCCCACATCGGGCTCCCTGCGTGGAGCCTGCTTCTCCCTCTGCCTGTGTCTCTACCTCTCTCTGTGTGTCTCTCCTGAATAAATAAATAAAATCTTTAAAAAAAAAATAAAAGATTGGTGGGATTGCCACACTTGCAGTCATTTTCCTGAGAAAGCAAACACACAGGTGGAAAATGAAGCTATTTTTCAGGCCAAAACCAATGCCATTCAGCATGTTTGAACTCAGGCACGGAAGAGGACCTTTCTCATTTGTAAGTGTACTCTATGAAAAAAATGGAACAATGTTAAAAATTTCAAACATCTCAAATAGCAACATGTATGTCCATTACCTGTATTTAATAGTTACTGATATTTTATCACATTTAGCAGTTTGGGTTTTTTTTGGGGGGGTGGGGTGGATAACTATTTGCTTTATTGAGATACAGTCCGCTACCACAGAATTCATCCATTTAAAGTTAAAATTCACTGGTTTTTGTATATTCACAAAAGTTGTGTAACTATGACCACAATCAGTTTTTAGGACATCTTCAACACACACGCACACAAAATGCTATTAGTGTTTGCACCCCATTTCTCCTCAATACCCCTTAATAATTCATTTTAAAAAATAAGCACTCGACCCATTGTGGGACTAGAACTCAAGACCCTGAGGTCAAGACTTGCATGCCCCACTGACTGAGCCAGCCAGGCACCCCAAGGAATCTCATTTTTAAAGGAAATGTTTGCAACTTAATGGTAGTTAATTTTCTTATATTTTTTTCTGCTAAGAATTGGTACCTTTGAGGACTGAGTAGTGGTCTGAACAAAATGGATAGGGTAATCTAGTACAGTACTCTGGATCAGAAGTGAAAAGGGGTTGTGGGGATGCTGTTTGCATCAAGTCACTTTTGCAAGAGTCATCACTTAGTAGGGCTGAACCCCACAGGTAAAGTAGGGTACAGTGGGGAGGGGATTCCATTGTGCTTACTGAAGTGATGGATTTAATAAAACTTGCAGATGAACTTATTACAAGAAAGAGGGCACCTGGGTGGCTTCAGTTGGTTGAGTACTTGACTCGTGATTTCAGCTCAGGTCACAATCTTTGGCAGTGGAATCAAGCCCCACTTGGGTGGAGTCTGCTTGTGGCACTTCCCCTCACCCCTGTGTTTTCTCTCTCTCAAACTAAAAAAAAAAAAAAAAAAAAAAAAATGTCTGAAGCAAGATTTCTAAGCCTCTAAGAGATGGTTCCTGTATTTAAAGCTTTAAAATCTAGTCAAGTAAAAAAAAATGTGTAGATCCTTTGGAATTTGTTGTAACCTGTAAGTTTCTCCATGCTTTGAGACCATTTTAATTTCAAAAGTCAAGAAGTTCAAACATTACAAAATTACGGGGCATAGGAAATGAAAGTTATTTGGAAATTCTACCCCATTAATCACTTAATAGTTTGAATTAAACAGACTAACCTTATATACAATATCTTAAAATAAATCCCAGCTACTGTATATACTTCAGCCATAATATACTTCTTATTTATTTAACAGGTTTTTGAAAACCTTGGGGCTTAATTTAGATTGGCTGTGATTTGTACAGCTTTCAAGGAATAGCCAGAGCATGACTTTGATCTGTACATTTTATGAATTGTTTTAATCGAAGTGTAATCGATGACTTTTACAAATATATGTACTCATAACCACCATGCAAGTCAATATAGAGAATATTATCAGCACCCCAGTGCTTTTGTCTAATACATTTTGATTTTTGACAGTTCGTATTTTGAGTAATTCATATTCCCCCAAAAAGCTAAAAATGTTTTCAACAGTAAATCTAAATTTGTCAATTTAAGAATATTTTTAGAACCAAAAAGGAAATGGAGAGTACTGAAAAACTTTTTAGTATTTTATGTGTATTTCTAATTTTTTTTCTTTTTTTTAATGTAAAGTGTTTTTTTTTTTTTTTTTTTTTTTTTTTAATTTTAAAGAACTCTTGGGATGCCTGGCTGGCTCAGTCGTTAAACCTCTGACTCTTGCTTTAGGCTAGGTCATGATCTCAGAGTTCTGGGATAAAATCCCAGAGTCGTCCTCCATGCTTGGAGAGTTAGCTTCTCTCCTTCCTCTGCCCCTACCTCTTTCTGTGGGTTCAAGTAGAATACTCTCTCTAAAATAAATAATACTTCAAGGAAAAAAAAAAAAGGACAACAGCAAAACAACAACAAACTCTTGGCATTTAAAAATTCTTTTGTACAGTGGTTTAATGTAATTGAAGTTTAGTTGACTACTTTTTAATGGGTATATTTTATGTCCTTAAGTTTTTCTTGCCATTAATTTAAGGTTGGTATTTTCACAGTAAGCTAACAGTGTTCGTATGTATCTCATTTCACATTTATGTATGCGTGTGTGTGTTTCCCCCCACATTTTAGTGTTAAACTTGAGTGATCTTAATACTTTTTTGAAAATATTTTTTTTTCTTCCTAATGTTAATCTTTGTAATTTTGAAATTTTTGGTAGGCATTTTAAAACCATTTGGTAGTGTATACTACATCAGGAGGATAATATTTTGATTATCTGAATTCTGAGTATTTCTGATGTTAAATGCATGGTTCTGAAAATTGTGTTTATGGAAAAATGAATTTATTTAATGCTGAAGAGTAGAGATAAGAAATGATAGAATCACTTCTCATTTAAGTACCCTAGTTTCAGATTCACTTAATGGGTCTCTTCTGTTCTTTAGTGCCCAGTGTTGGGTACTTCTATGCAAATTTGCAGAACAATCTATTGAGGAACATAAGGTAAGTTACAATAGCCCATGTTTACTGAGAAGAAACCCTGAAGTGATGTGTCCAAGGTCATATATAACCAAGAGTCAAAGTTCAGTTCTCTTTTTATGGGTAATTATCATGGTGTGGGCTGAGGATTATTTTCATTTGAGTTTTGAGTCCAAAGATTTTTAATTTTGTGGGTTTGATATTTAACCAGTTCACAAGTTCTACTTGAAAGATGACATTTTTGCCTCTATGTGTGACTGAAAAATCACTTAAGTTTTCTGAAGTGTCTATGCTCATTTTGTAGAATTGCAGATAGAAGCAATCTATTCTGTTATAAAGATTTTTTTTATTTTTTTCTGTTATAAAGAATTTAAATATAAATTATCCTTAGTTTATCCTTTATGTTAATCTATAATGGTATTTAGTTTTCCTTCCATTTCTTTCTGTAACTGCTTAATTGAGATAGGTTTTACATACCATACAGTTAGTTCACTGTGGATTGGCTTGTTCTAGACAGTTCATATAAATAGAGTCATAACAATAATATATGGTCCTTTGTGACTGCCTTCTTTCACTTAGCATAATGTCTTCAAGGTTTATCCATGTCCTGTATACAGTACTTGTTTTCCTTTTGTTGCCAAATAATCTTTTGTAGGGATAGACCACATTTTGTTTATTTAATAAATCACAGTATTTGGATTGGTTCCATTTTTTGGCTATTGTGAATAATTCTGCTATGAACATTCATATACAAGTTTTTGTGTGGACATACGTTTATTTTTCTTGGGAATATACAGTTGACCCTTGAATAATGCAGAGATTAGGGGCAGTCGAAAATGAGCACATAACCTTTTGACTCCCCCAGAACTTAACCACTAGTAGCCTACTGTTGACTAGAGAAACCTTACCAATAACATAGTTGATTAACATACTTTGTATGTTGTATGTATTTGTATGTATTGTATATTGTATTCTTAAAATAAGGTAAGCTAGAAAAAAGAAAATGTTATGAAGAAAATCCATGAGGGGGCTCCTGGGTGGCTCAGTCGGTGATGAAGCATCTGACTCTTGATTTGGGCTGAGATCCTGATTTCAGGGCCTCAGGCTCTGCTCAGTGGGGAGTCTGCTTGGCATTCTCTTCTTCTGCTCCGCCCCTCACTCTATCTCTCTCAAATAAATAACTTTTAAAAATTATTTATTTGAGAGAGAGTGAGGCAGAAGCAGGGTCCGCTGAGCAGGGAGCTAGATGCAGGGCTCAATCCCAGAACCCTTTGGCTCATGACCTGAGCCAAAGGCAGATGCTTATTTGACTCAGCCACCCAGGCGCCCCAATAGATAAATGTTTTTTTTAAAAAGAAAAAAACGCCATGGAAAGAGAAATGTACAGTACTGTATGTAGTGTATTTATTGGAAAAAGGCATCTTTATGTGGAGGTCCATATAGTTCAAACAGTTCAAACTCCTGTTGTTCAAGGGTCAACTGTTTATCCCTAGTAGTGGAATTGCTAGACCATATGGTAACTATGTTTAGTCATTTGAGGAACTGCTAAACTGTTTTCCAAAGTGGCTGCACTATTTTACAGCCTCACATTGTATGACTTCCAATTTTTCCATATCCTAACCAATACTTGTTAACATCTGTCATTTTGATTATAGCCATCCTCATGGGTGTGAAGCCTTCATCTCATTATGGTTTTGTTTTGCATTTCCATCATGGGTAAAGATACTGTGAATCTTTTCATGTGCTTATCTGTCATTTATATATCCTTATAGGAACACATGCAACATTTTTTAAGCTAAATTCTTGGAGGTTGAAGTTAGGAATTCTTTTGGTATGACCTATATCGCTAATCTGTAGCTACCAGCTAGTAACAGCTGTACAGCTACTAGGAACACATTTCCTACTCCTTATCATATTCTTCCTCTTTTCACTTTTTTGTCTTTTCCTTGTCCATTTTATTAGACATATTTATTACTGGAAGTTTTACCATATAGACAAAATAATAACTGGTGTTTATTGAGGGCTTTATGTGCCAGGCACAATGTCAAATGCTCTGTATTACCTTAAATTTAAATTCTCACAATTCTAGGAAATAAAGGCGCTTTTACTTTTACTGAGGAAACTTGCCCAAGGTTGTAATTATTATCTTGTGGCCAAAGACTAGATGAAAACAAATTACAAATTGTCGACCTTTTTTTTTTTTTAATTGTCAAGGTTTTGGAAAAACCTGTTTTGTGGTTGACAACCCATATCCCAAAAATAAACGTTTCCTGCCATTAAGTCTTAAATTGTTTAGTACTGAAATCACGGTCTTCTCATCTGCAGTTGCTATCAGTTCTATGGCTTTATGAGCATGATTTGCTTTAACACTGATCTAATTTATGAAAGGTTTATCTACCTTTCATAAAATTTTTAGCTTAATTATCCCCACTCAAGTGTTCTTGCTTTAAGCTAACAATTTCAAATGATAGGTTTATTTTTCACAAGAATAAAAAAAAAAATACTCCCAAGTCACAGCAGGAGAAAATTTGGGTAGATTTTTTTTTCCTAAGGGTAATTCTAATTTAAAGAAAAAGATGCTACTTGATATCTTATCAAGATAAGTATTCAGTTCTTAATATTTAATGTAATAGTATGTAGCATTCTGGGAAAATTAAGAGGGCTGAGAATTCAGAAAGCCAGTGATCTTTTTTGTCAGCAAAGCTGAAATGTAGGTAATGTGAATTCTGAGTTAAATCATTTATGTGTCTAATACATGATAAAAAATTGACCATTTTGCCAGGAATAGGAAAAAAGAATCCTTATAAAAAAAAATGCTCAGTGTTGAACATTGTGTATATTGTTAGAATTGTATTTCCCTTATTTTATGTTTAAACCCTAATAATTATATTCTTGCAGGGGAACGCCCATACAAATGTGAGCTTTGTCCTTACTCAAGTTCTCAGAAGACTCATCTAACTAGACATATGCGTACTCATTCAGGTTGGTAAGAAATGGAAACCCTTCTATGATTTTTAGTATTCAATACCTCATTATAAGGAAGTTCTTCTAGACCTGGAACTGGGTCATTATTTATGATTTATTTATTTTAAAAATCAATTTATAATTTATTTTTAATATAATTTAGAAATTAGAGTTAAAAAATCAGTGTTGTATTTAAATGTAGGTTCTTAACAAGGAATCCATACGTGGAACTCTTGAAACTGAATGTAAATGCATGCATGCACGGTTTCTGGCTGAAGGGTCCATAATTTTCACCAGATCTTCAAATTCCATGATTAATAAAACTGGAAGTGCTATTGTAGACCAATGCTGGTTCATACTTTTGAACAACCCCTACCTTTTCCCCCTCTCCCCTACACCCAACACAGTATAACACCAAGTTTCATAGTATGTGATTTCCAGTTATAGGGATTCCTTCTTAATTTCTCAGGTCCTAAAGTGTGAATTTGTCCTCTTTTGAGAGCTGATAGGGCTTCTGTGGAATAATTTACAAAAGCCAGACTTTAAAGAATAATGGGTAATTCTAGGATCTCAATTTATTAACATATAATAGATAAAATGCAGGACTATAAATGCAGTGGAAGATTTGTCCATTCTGGTGACTGAAATAATAATGGTGATCACCAACCAGAATTGGCCCCCATTATCAAGGTAGATAGATGGCAGAGTTAAAAAGTAAATATTAGCATAGGTGTCCTTTTTTTTATTTTTTGCATAGGTGGTCTTTAAAGGATAATTCATTTTGGCTATAATTGACCCTTGGTGAACCACCACAACTGGTCAGAATACTTTCAAACTATGCCAAAATTTTGGTGATAACCGAAGTCTGTTGTAGACTTAACCTCCTTTAAGTTAATAATTAATTGCCTGAAATTTGTGCAGTTTGCTTGGGTAGCCACTAGCCTCATGTGGTTATTGAACTTGTGAAATGTAGCTAGTTTGAATTGAAATGTATCAAATTCATAGTAGAACTCAAACAGTATAAATAAAAACACATAAAATATCTACTTTGGGGCACCTGGCTGGCTCAGTTGGAGGAGCATGTGACTTGATCTCGGGGTTGTGAGTTTGAGCCCCACATTGGGTCTAGAGTTCTTAAATAAAACCTAAAAAATTTTTTTGAATATTGGTTACATATTGACATAACATTGGTTATATTGAGTTAAATGAGTAGTAAAATTTAATTTTACCTTTGTAAAGTGACTACTGAAAATTTAAAATTACATATATTGTATTTTATTTCTATTGGATATTGCAATTTTAAGTCAATAATTAAGTAACATTTGATTATAGTACAGGTTGTGATTTGAGCACTATAAAGGGGTCACATAATATGCTTACTAGCTTTTCTTCACCCTACATTCTTGTCATGTTAATATACTTTGAATGTTCTTTCTAAATCTCCTAAGCTATTGAATTGAGTCACTTAACCAGAAACCTGAATTTATTGCTTAGGGGTACTTCCTGGTTTCATTTTTCTGAGGGTAATTTGGATGCTGTCTCAAGTTTTGTTGAGGGTAGGCATCATGTTCTATTGATAGTTGTGCTTTAGCCCTTAAATGAAACGTTTAAAAGTTTTATGTGAGTTAACTAATTTTAGTCCTTATAACTATCCTATAATGTATAGGTTCTATTATTATCCTCATTTTACCAATGTGGAAACTTAAGGCATTGAAGAAATGTGGCCATTTTTTCTGTAGAGTGTCCTCCTTTCTAGATTTGTCTTACTTGCTTTCTCATGGTGTCATTTGGTTTTTCCTCTTTCCCTGTGACCTTGTATTACTTGTACACTGGAAATTAAATTGGAATGCTTGGATTCTACTTCATGTGTCTCATTTGAAAGTACTATCTGGTTGGCTCACTAGTACTGTTGTTGGGTTACTGGATTAGAATGATGACATTCTTGTATCTTTTTCATTGAATAGATAGTATTTTTGTCACTGTATAAGTGTCTGTGGTGTTTTACACCAGTCAGTAACTTCTGCCTGAATAATTTTGTGTTTGCTTAAAAAAAAAAATTGTGTTTGCTAGCTGTTGTCTTTTGAATCTCTTTGCTGTATTAAAAAGATGATATTCAGTAGTTGGCTGTTACAGTACCAAGTATTTTAAAAATTTCTTAATGAGTAGTAGCTACTATTTTCTTTTTAAAGATTTTATTTTGGGTCCCTGGGTGGCTCAGTTGGTTAAATGTCTGCCTTCGGCTCGGGTCATGATCCCAGGGTCCAGGGATGGAGACCTACATCAGGCTTCCTGCCAAGCGGGGAGCCTGCTTCTTCCTTTCCCTGTGTCTGCTGCTCCTACTGCTTGTGCGTGCTGTCTCTCTGTCACATAAAATATTTTTTAAAAAATAAGGATTTTATTTTTCTAAGTAATCTTTACACCCAGTGTGGATCTCAAACTTAACCCCACGATCAAGAGTCACATGCTCTATCTACTGAGCCAGCCAGGCACCCTAATAGTAGCTACTATTTATTGTATGTATGTCAGGTACTGAGAAATTGGGATTTGTTATCTCTAATCTTAGTATTCCTTAAATGGTTTATCTTACTTTATGGATTAGATTTAGAGAGGCTAAATGTTTTACCTATGGTTAATTGTCATTCCTTTAGATCAGAAGAGCTAGGATTTGGCCTTAAACTCCTTACCCTCACATTTTCAGTTAAGCAGAGTTAAAAGAACATTATGGCTCAGAAAATGGCTCAAGAGACTATAGCATAATGACATTGGAACCACAGCGTACGGAGAGAGCGGGGATCTGTTTTATTGGATGCCAATAGTTTGAGTGGCAGACAGGAAACAAACATGGTTAGTTTGTTTTGTGTATGAGTGTGCAATTATAAAAAGTGAGGCTAAGTTAGGTCAAATTAGATAGGTAGCCCTTTTTAAAGACTGCATGGAGTCTTGCATGGAGTGAATCTCTTGGGTGCCTTCTCTGTGGTCTGGAGTCTTTTAGGGTCCCCATGGGTTGGTTGGTTCTTGTTCATGTGAGTGTGTTTTAGAGAAGAAAAAGTATGTGCTTATTATTAGTCTCTTATTTTTGTAAAAGATTAGGCTCTATGGAGTTGATACATTTTAGCTTAATTGACAGCTTATAACACTGGTTGTTTACTTGGAGCAGTTTCATCCATAAAATGAGTCTTTTTAGGCCAAATTAGGAAGGGATCAGAATGTTGATGAGGTGAAAAATTGACACACTAAACCAATCTGACATATCTGGTCTTATTCTCTGTTTTATTGGTGTTTCTACCTAATGGTATTAAAGTATCCTTCACTTGGCTAGTCCTAGAATCTACACTGACATTATCCACAGCTCTGCTCTCCCTTTCCTATTCTCAATGGAGATACTACCATTTGAATTCTGCTAGCATAGGAATTCATTTTGAGTATTTTTCCATAATGAGTGTAATGGATGCTTTTTTTTTTTAGTAACTTTTTTTTTTTTTTTTTTTTTACTTTGAATTTGGTTTGCCTGGATGCTTTTGTGTTTTGGTTTTGTTTTGTTTTGTTGGATGCTTTTGTTAAAGGAGATCAACAACTTGCCAAGTTCTATCTCCATTTATTACTCTTTTTAAGATGTAAAAATATTTTATTCAACAATAAGTTTATTTTCCTTTAACCAAGGATTTCATAATTATTATGGCGGCGTTATTGAAATTGAAAGGCGTTATGGTTTTAAAGTCTTCATGAATTCCAGAATATGTTTTTTCCTGGGTCTTTGCTATTTTATTTTATTCCCATTTTAGTATGCCATGTCAAATTCAACTTACTATGCAGTTTGGGCTTTTTGTCAGTAAACATTTTTTACTGAAGTATAGTTAATATGCAATGTTATATTAGTTGCAGGTATGTAGAATAAAATTTTAAACAGTATTCTGTTGAGGTTCATTAACACATGAAAATGCAGACATGCATCTGAAGTGTAGTTACTTCACGGGATTTCTCCTGTTTGACTGCCCCCCAGAGGAAGAAATCTTACACCCTCAGAAAAGTTCTGTCCTTGCCCTTTCCAATCAGTACTTCCCCCCCAACTGATACTGATTTCTAGCAAGAAAGACTATTCCAACATTGTTCTATAAGATGTTTTTGACATTCATCCCATGCTGCTTTATCAGAACTTTGTTCTTATTGCTAAGTAGTAATCAATTGTATGCCCTGTTCTTTATAAAAAGTTCCCTTTTCTTTTTGGATTCTTGATAAGAACATACAAATTGTATAAAAAGTTTTGCCTTTTGAATTTGTAATGTACCTTTAAGTTACTTTGGGAAGAAGAAAATAGATATCTGACACATTTTAAAGATTAAAAATATAGATAAATATTACTAGAATTGGAAAAGAATTAAGTTAAAATCATTGATACAAGGCAAAAAAAATATATATATATTCAACTAGGCGCTAATAACATACAGTTTTGATGACTAGATCTCCTAATACAAGTAATATTTAATGGCAAGAAAATAAAATTGAGGGGGAGAATGAATGGAGCAAGTAAATTTTGCCATCAAAATTTAATTTTTTTTTGTTTTATTTATTTATGATAGGCACACAGTGAGAGAGAGAGAGGCAGAGACACAGGCAGAGGGAGAAGCAGGCTCCATACACCGGGAGCCTGACGTGGGATTCGATCCCGGGTCTCCAGGATCGCGCCCTGGGCCAAAGGCAGGCGCCAAACCGCTGCGCCACCCAGGGATCCCCTGCCATCAAAATTTAAATAGGTTTTTATGAACTCACATTCTCTGACCATTTCATAGGTGGAGGCTTGCATTTTTTTTTTTTTTTTTGGAAGCTTGCATTTTGATGCTTGCTATGTAAATATCCTCATTTGTTAGGAGTTATACAATGGTGATACTCCATTATAATTCTTTTATTAGCATAAATATTTTCCTAAAGAGAGAAAATTCATCAGCCATTTGTTTACTCAGAGGTAAGGTTTAAATGGACAGGCAGGAAAAACCCATGAATCTTGCATTTTATTAACCTATTCTAAAAGTACCAGTCCCAAAAGTGATGATGTATAGGGAATGTATATGAATTGCTTGGCTCTCTGTTCATCCTAAATGCTTTATGTAGAATAAATTATAGCTCACAACTCTTAAGAAAGAGTATTTTACAGATGAAGAAATTGAGCCTTACAGTTTTCAGTACTTTGCTCAAGATTTCACAGTGAGTTGGAGAAGAGCCCATATTTGATCCCCCAAATTGTCTCATTTTAGAAAAGGTTTTAACCATTATGCCACCTATTTTCCCCCATTCTATGTCTATATATGTTATGCAAACGATTGTCCCCACTGAGGTCATTCATTGGAGAGGACAAGATAGAGCCAAATATAGAGTAATGCAGCATGTTGTAGAAACCTCTATTTATGAATCTATTAGTAGTCTAACATGGGAAAGAGTTGTCCAGTTAGCTACATAACCACTCTGATATACCTGGTAAGTTTTTGTTTCTGCGATTATTTTATCATCAGACATTTTCAAATCATGTAAAGCTTACCATGGTTTTACCCAATGTCTGAGAAATTTACTTTGTGAAAAAAAAAATAGATTTGATATAAATTTGAGAATGTTTGAGAGATGAATTTTCATAAATGTCAATTTCCATTTTTCTACTATGCATTCCATTGGACCAGTGGGGTATGGATACCATTTGGTAATATTTACTAGAGTGTGATCTAGATGGGTATGTATTCAGGTAGAATGTGTTAATCTTATACCTTTAATTTGGGGGTGGGGGTGGTTTTGGTTTTGTATGTACCTGTGATCTGTGATCATGACTTTGTTCGATTATTTTACATACCATATCTATTTGTATGCTGTTTCTCATTGATTTAATTTCTTTGCCCATATGTTAGAAGAAGGTAGGGAAAAATCAAAAGGTTTCTGTTTTGATTATATTTTTGCCTTAAAATAGCAATTCTGGCATCTGGAAGAGTTTGCTGAATGAAACTTTACTCTTGCTGGGATGAATAAAATGGTTAAATTTAAAGAAAAGGCCTTTTGCTCCTTGAGGCAAAAAACTTTGTTTTACAACTTCTACATCTAAGGTCTGAGAATGTAGCCTGGAGTATAAGGTACTCCTTTTGAAGTCTCAAGATTTATCTTAAAAAATGTATGGGAATTAAAAAAAAATGTATGGGAATTATATATTCTATTCTATTCCATTATATATTTGTTTTAACTAAATGTAGAACATTTAAAATTAATCTTTTCTCAAAAAAAAAATTCTCTTTCCTCTTTGAGTGCCCTTGCCCCAAAATTCACACCCACAGCCCAACCAACTTTGCCAATAATTGTTGTGTACTTCTTGATGAATCATTCTTCTCTTATACAGTGTTTGAGAGTTCTAGCTTGACGAACTTTTTAGAAGATGTTGGTTAAATGAGGTAATTGTTCCTCCATTTGGTATGAGAATCCATGTCAAGGGGTAGAGAAAAGATCTACAAATAAATATGGTAAATGTAAAGTGCATGATACAGTCTTTTCAATGAATAGTTTGTGTTGTGTGTATGTTTTAACATCCAATTCCTTATATTTTAATAGAAGCGTGAGTTCATTTCTTAACCTATGTTCTCTCTAACATCTCTTATTTACCTTCAGGTGAGAAGCCATTTAAATGTGATCAGTGCAGTTATGTGGCCTCTAATCAACATGAAGTAACCCGCCATGCAAGACAGGTTCATAATGGGCCTAAACCTCTCAACTGTCCACATTGTGACTACAAAACAGCAGATAGAAGTAATTTCAAAAAACACGTAGAGCTACATGTTAATCCACGGCAGTTCAATTGCCCTGTATGCGACTATGCAGCTTCTAAGAAGTGTAATTTGCAGTATCATTTCAAGTCTAAGCATCCAACTTGTCCTAATAAAACAATGGATGTCTCAAAAGTGAAACTAAAGAAAACCAAAAAGCGAGAGGCTGACCTGCCTGATAACAATATTACCAATGAAAAAACAGAGACAGAACAGACAAAAGTAAAGGGGGATGTGGCTGGAAAGAAGAATGAGAGGTCTGTAAAAGTGGAGAAAAAAGATAATGTTTCAAAAGAGAAAAAGTCTTGTAGTAATGCTTCCACCCAAGTGACTACTAGAACTCGCAAATCAGCAATGGAAACTAAAGAAATGGATGTGCATACAGGAAATAATTCAGAAGCTACCGGTAAAACCAAGAAAAGCAAAAGGAGGATGGAAGCTGAAGCCCATTCCTTAAAAGACCCTGTAAATGATGAGGAACCTGTGACAAAAAAGAAAAAGAAGGCAGAAAGCAAATCCAAAAATAGTCAGGAAGTGCCAAAAGGTGATAGCAAAGTAGAGGAGAATAAAAAGCAAAATACCTGCGTGAAAAAAAGTACAAAGAAGAAAAGTCTGAAAAATAAGTCAAGTAAAAAAAGCAGCAAGCCTGCTCAGAAAGAGGCTGCTCAGAAGGGGCCTGCTCAGAAGGGGCCTGCTCTGATGGAGCCTTCTCCTCCCAAGGGGAATGCTCAATTGGAGCCTTCTCCCAGGGGGCCTGCTCAGTTGGAGACTTCTCCTCCCAGGGGGCCTGCTCAGATGGAGCCGCCCCCTGCCCTAGAGTCTACTCAGATGGATGTTGGTCAAATGGAGCCGCCTCCCCCAGTGGAGTCTGCTCAGATAGGGTCTTCTCAGACGGAGCCACCTCCTCCCATGGGCCCTGTTCAGATGGAAGTTGTTCAGATGGAGCCTCCTCCCACAGAGCCTTCTCTTCATGTGGAACCAAGTCCCAAAAAGTCTCCTCGAAGAGATAAAAAGGAAAAGTCCAACATACAGAGTGAAATGGCACGGAAGGAACAAGTCCTTATTGAAGTGGGCTTAGTGCCTGTTAAAGATAGCCAGCTTCTAAAGGAAAGTGCAAGTGCACAGGATCACTTACCACCACCACCGCCACCACCACCACTGCCACCACCAAAGGAAAACTCAAAAGAAGAGGAGTCAAAAGACCAAAAATTATTCACTGAAAACGAAGGAAGTAAAGAAGCCCCTCTTCAAAAAGTAGAAGTAGAAGAGGCAGAGAAAGGTCTAGCTGGTCTTGCTGCTATTAAGGAATCTGCCAATATTTCATCCTCTGAACAAAACTTGACTATACCAGAGGGTGAAATTTTAGATGCTAAGTGTCAGGCTGACACTGTGCTTTGTGAAATGGAAATGGATACTGATGAGAACAAAACAGAGAATCCCCCTGGCAAAGGCCCAGCAGTTGAAGAACCTGTTTCACCAGTGCTGCATCCCCTACCAATAGAAAACCATGAAGCAGTGTCTAAAACTGCTGTGACATCACCTCCTGTCACCATGGCAGTAAATGAGTCTCAGGAAATGGATGAAGATGAAGGCATCCACAGTCATGATGGAAGTGATCTAAGTGACAACATGTCAGAGGGTAGTGATGACTCTGGATTGAATGGGGCCCGGCCAGTTCCACAAGAAACCAGCAGGAAAAATGCAAAGGAGGCCTTAGCAGTCAAAGTGGGAGAGGGAGATTTTGTATGTATCTTCTGTGATCGCTCTTTTAGAAAGGAAAAAGATTACAGCAAGCACCTCAATCGTCATTTGGTTAACGTATACTTCCTTGAAAAAGCAGCTAAAGGGCAGGAGTAATTAATCTTAGGATAAGGCTTCAGTTCTTAGTTTATGCGATCTATTACATTTAATATTCATTTATAGTTGTAGACAACCTTTTGTTTTTTTAAATTGCTTTAATTAGTGTCCAATGTTGATTTTTAAGTGGCACTCTTTTCCTTAGGACTCTGTATCTATTGATGGATAAATTTTAGCAAATCCAAGGAAGTTAGTGTACTAAACCAGCAGATACCTAAATCTGTTAGTTTATACATTTAATTGAAATGAGAAGGCCAAGGTGGTATTGTAGCATTCTGTTGCTTTGTCTGGCTGTAACTTGTCACTTTTCTTGCCATGTCTATCTTCTTGTTTCACTTTAGTTTTTTCTTAGTTCTTTGTTTAGTTCTATAAAAATTGGCATACTTAAATAGCAAATTACTTGAATTTGCCTGCTTTATATAAAGTTAGCACTTTAAAATTTTTTTAGAGATGAGAAGAGACATTTAAATTGAAGAAAAATTCTCCCAACAGTGGACATTGTATCAGTCCAGGTATTTACTTACTGAGTTTTGATCAATATTTCTTATTTGTGTATGTTAATCGTCATAAAAACAATGATTTTGGTGTGTTTTTTTTTCTTTCAAGTTTTTTTTTTTTTTTTTGGTGCTTTAATGGCTTAAGATGTTGCACATTGTTGTTTTTTTTTTTTAACCTATGCAGTTCAATTTTTTTCTAGAAATAGTATTCGTGTTGAACAGTAACACTTTATACATATATATGCATGTTTATTTTGTCCTCTTTCGAGGGATGCTTTTAGTCTTGTTTGCAAAAGGGCAGTTTTCTTTTTCCTTTGCTGCAATTGTCTTTTTTGCAGAATATTAGTGTGTGCAAATTTGTGAGCAAATGAAACATGCAGGTTCAATCCATTGATTTTGAATTTCACATCTTATATCTATGCCAGAATCTGTATTTCACATAAGTTATTTATTTTAAATGGATGTAGTGAATTCACAGCTCTCATTTTGACCTTTACAATAAACCACTAGACTCTATATTAGACAGATTTTTATCTCAGATACCAACCATGGTAAAAATTTTTGGCTTGTTTTAGTAGAACTACTTCCTAAATGTGCAGTGTTAAGTCATATCTTTGAGGAAAACCTTTCTGCATAGATGGTTGGTGTCCATATGGCTACTCAGCTGAATAAAGAACTGTAAGTGATATTTGGAAACTGCAAACCTGGAATTAGGAGACATAATTACTCCTTTAAGTTATACAGAATATCGGTTGTGAGATTCCAAAGCCATAGCAATTACACAGAAAATCTAGGTTGAGAGAGGTAGTAGTATGAGTGCTGGTAGACCAGCTGCTACTTACTTCCTATGAATACAATGAAAAAGGCAGGTGAAACTCAAGTACAGTCCAGATTTCTAAAATCATACTTTCTCAGGGATCTCCACAAACTAGTGGGTGTCCTGGCTGTCCCTGTGACAGCCTCTTTCTACAGGTGAGGCCTCAGATGAATTGCAGCTATCCTGGTGTTCCTGTGGGGGCACTTTGTATTAAGAAAGAGTGTACTTCTAAACTTTCTTGGTAGGTTCTTTGGCCAGTTGCCAAAGACTGAAAGAATCCAGCAGGATTTTTCTTGCTGATAGCAGTTAATTCATTGCAGTCAAAGTATGATCCCAGTAGGGAATCTTGAACAATTCTGATCCTCCCATGTTCTATTCTGAAATAACCACTTTATATTTCATTTATTTTCTTTTATCTGGTGATCTCTTTGAGGCAGGCTTCAGAGTTTGGCAATGCAACATGAAAAGAATAGGAAAAGCATTGATGAAGTGTGGTTGGAAACTTGTTAAATATCTGAGAGTGAAGTTTGAGTTAAAAGACATTTGAACTTGGGATTGACTGGGAGGCCAAAGATTTAAAGAAGAGAAGATTCTCTCAAGACACGAGGAGTAAGTTGTGTGTTAATGGTGTGTGTTTTGTGTGCATGAATGGGAATTATAAATGATGTTGAATTCTAGGTGAATTCACGGCTCCGACAATCATTGTCAACAGAAGATCAAGCTGCAAATATTTATGTTTTAAAACTTAAATTATAAAGCTAGTTAAATCTTTCTAACAACTAGTTTTAATGTTCATGGGTACATTTTATGTAAGTTACCTTTTACATTCTATATGAAAAGACTCATGTTAAGTACAGATTGGAGATTGGGAATCAGTTTGGGGAAGAGATTTTGTGGATTCTTTCATCCTACAAAAGAGAAAAATTAGATGTCTGGGGAATTGGACTAATTTTCTTATCTAGTTTTTAAGACTAGAATGCTAAAAAACAAAAATATGAAGGAAATTAAAACCCCTTTATTAAATTGATCTGTGAAAACATTGTTACTGGAAATTGAGTGGGACTTGAGGCCTTTCTTCCAGAAAACAAGGACTTGATTGTCAGGCCTATATTAGGTTCTGAACCTTAATGCCATGTATTTGTACTTGTTAAAAATTGTTTCAATGAAAAATATATTAGTAATATGAACTTCTGGTTTAGTAGGGAGTTCTTCCATTTGAAAAATGTGATATTTGCATGGAACTGTTTGAATCTTTGTTTTCTCAGTTTCCCCTCCACTGGATAGAATTGAAACTAGAATTTTCCCTTTTGTTAAAGGAATAAAAAGTGAATATGTTATTTGTAAATTGATGTTTAGTAACTAGAGATAAACTTGAAATACTAGAATACATTATAAGCCTAATCCTAGGTAGTCTTATGAAAATGTATCTCTTCTGAACCTATCTATATTCACATTGCTCTTCAAGATATCTTAAGTTATATTTTTTCCTCTTTTCAGAGCTGCTTCTTTGGGGGCTACTTTTTTTTTTTATTGAGGTGTAATTCATAAGGGGCTACTTTTCTGATAAGGCTTCTTATAACTATGGCTGGATGTTTTGTTCTAGTCTTCCAAGAAGGGCCATTTTATTTTTTAGAGTCACTTCTAAAGTCATGTGGTCTTTAACTTTGGGGACTATTTTGCATATAAGTGCTAATGCAAATAAATTTAAACCCAAGTAGACCTCATCACATGTCACCCTATGAATGTTGACAATGGAAGGAATACCTTGCCTGTAGTATAATATCAGTTCTGGACTGAAAAGCTAGGGAAGAAAATTTTCTTTTTTGCATAAACCAGAAAAACCGCTAGTGTGCAGTTTCCTTGTTGACCTCAGCAGATGAACTGAGCTGATAGTGTTATTTCAGATTCGTGAAATTATATGAATCTTGGTTTGTGTAGACTTGCAATCTACATGCAATTTTAACTAAATCAGATAGCTTTTACATTTTCACTTTGTACATAGGCTCTCCCCACCCTTTTCAACATCCATTAGTTAATTGATCTTTGTAAACTGGCATTGAAACATTACAACAATGTTTTGTTGCACCAATTTTATAAACTTTTACAGTGCAATACGTGTTATTTTTCCGAGACAAACCAAAGGTTAACTTCTCAAGGTTCTTGCTGCCTGCTTTAGCAGCATTTGATGGGAGGATCTTTTATATACATTTGTAATAGATGAAAAACCAGATTGCAAATCCTTTTGTTTTTTTTTTTTTTTTAAAGCTTAAACCATGTACCAAGTTTTTGGTCCAAATTGTGTAGAATAAGTTAAACTTAAATTGCATTCTATTAACCAATATGAGTGTATTTCTGTAAGCATAGTTATGTTGAAATAAAGTTTTAAAAAGCATTTTATTATGCCTTTGTTTATTATTTGGTAGGTCAAGTATCAAACCGAATTACTTTGCTAGAATTGCAAGTATATTAATTCCAAAATTATTACCTCTGATAAACCATGGTAGGTAGAAAGGTCATCACAATCCGTTGTTTGGGGTAACAGTCTAGTGGGTAGTCGTCCAAAGTAGATCTTCCTCTACTTCTAGGAGGTTGAGGTCAGGGAAAAACAACCTGAAGACAAATCACAGGATGCTTTACATAGTAATTAATTCCCAACCCCAGGTTCCCTTAACAGCTTTTTAAAAAATGTATTTTATTTATTCATGAAAGACACAGAGAGACAGACATAGGCGGGGGGGGGGGGGGGGGGGCGGGGAAGCAGACTCCTTGCAGGGAGCCCAATGAGGGACTCGATCCCAGGACCCCAGGATCACACCCTGAGCCTAAAACAGATGCTCAACCACTGAGCCACCCAGACTTCCTTCCCTTAACAGCTTTAATATAAATATCCTTTCTCAATAGCAGGCCTGGTGTTAGTACATTTTGACTCATGATTGGAAAAAGATGCATTGAAGGGGAAATAAGTTACACTAAGTGTTGACTGCCAGGCTACTGTCTTAAGGATCTTACTATAATGGACTTCTGAGAAGAAAATAAGAGTCTGCTTCTTTTGTTAATGGAGAAACATGTTTTTTAAAGTGTTTTTGTTGACAAAAAGAGGAGAAGGTGATGGAGAAACCTCTGGCATTGCAAAGCATCAAAACAATTGGATTGCATTGTGGCCTGATAACACCAAGTGACCTGTAACCTCCTGAGTCATAAAGAATGGATATTTCATATTGATGAGAGTGATTCTTCCTTTGATGTCTTTTGTAAGACTTTATCAGCAAAAAGCAAAATGAATTTCCAAGCATTTACTTTATTGAGATAGTAGAATCAGTGACAAAGAGCATGAAAGTTTGACCGACCAAGGATATATGGGGAATTTATCTTGAATACATAAATGCTATTGATGTCGGATTTGGTTTGTTATCTTTAATGAATGAAGGAATGGTTACAAGTGTCTTCAGTCCCTTTCTACTTCTTTCCCAGGGGCTCACCCTTGTTAGGATGTTTACATATATCCTGCCTTTACACTTAAACCAGTTGGCCATCTTTTTTTTTCTCCCCAGGTCTCAGTGAGGGCTTGATTCATTTGTAGGTAGAGTTGCTGTATAATCCTGTGACCTCCCACCTAGGGTACTCCACAGCACTCATCCTCAGCTCCATAAAGGCGGATTGGTGAAGGTGCTAAGAACAAGGCAGTAGTGTTTGGTAATAAGGGAAAGTTTCAGTGTTAAGAAATTGCCTTTTCAAAGAGCACTGCATCAAGTGTTCTGTGGGCCTTTGAGTTAGAGCTGGGTTCACAATGGGCCTCTTTTCCTTACCAGTATAAAATGGGCAAACTATTTTAACTTTACTGAACCTATTCATCTATAAAAGGAGACATGGAATTTCTATCCATAGAGTGGCTTTGAGTGTTAAATGCTTATTAAGCATTTAGCCTACTGCTTGATATATACTTTTACTAGGGCCTCTTTCACTACATGACAAACCAAGTAAGTATCCTAAATACTTGTTCTTCCTCTATTTGGGCATGATTAACTTGACTTGCTTGTCTTGGAAAGCAGCTTTTAATGTTAAAGTAGTACATGGGCTTTTGTGTCAAACTACATTATAATATCTTAGGAGTCAGAATCCTTTCATGTTCACTACTTTATAAAGCAGCTAAAATAGTATCTGGTCCTTAGGGTAAATAGTTGTCCAGGCCAAGAATTGTGTGTGAAGTGTTTCTGTGTTTCTCTTTGATTTCAGCTAATTAATTTACAATGGTAAGTTTACTGTAATTTTTAAACTCTGATAATGCAGAAATCTCTTGTTTCACAGACCGAGGATATTGGGAGTCAACCCAAGTTACAGGAAATAGCAAATCTTGAGAAAGAGACTTTGTTAAATTTTATTTTGAAAAAGATTCAAACTTAGAGAAATTGCAGCAATGGTATCTTGAAATTTTGTGTACCCTCATTTGGATTCACTCATACTTGCTTTCTGTATAATATGTGTGCTTTGTAGAACCACCAGAAGTTAAGTAGCATACTTATCTTTATCTCAATATTTCAGTTCTTGCCTCCTAAGGATAAGGGCATTCTTTTGCACAACCATGCTCTAGTTAAAAAATGTAGGATTTTTAAGATTGATAAAATGTATTACAATATATGTTCAAATTGTCTCAAATGTCTTAGTAACCTTTTAATAGTCCCCCTGTTCCTAACACCCATTGCATTCAATTGTCTCATCTCTTCAGTTTCCTCTAATTTGGAACAATTCCCTAGCTTGTTCTTCACAACAATGAGTTTTAAGAGTTCATCCCAGTGGTTTAAAGAGTGTTCCTTAATTTAGAATATTCTAAATACTGTTTCTTCATGCCTCAGTTCAGGTTATGCATTTTGGCAGGAATACTAAATATTGGTGTATTACTCCAGATGGCATACATCGTGTCAGTTTATCCCATTATTGGTGTTAACTCATTTGGTTAAGGTGTGGTCCACCAGATTTCTCTATTAAGTTATTTTTCCCTTTGTAATCTGTGGGAAGATATATTGAAACAATCTTTTTAAGAAACCCAGTGATTTTAGCATGTAATTATTTTTGCTTGAATACATTATACCTTCTATGTTCATTAGTATTCTTATCAGGAAGAGCTTTTCCTTCTGGTAGATCCCAGTTCTTGTTTCATGCGTTACCTGGCAGTCATTCACTTCACCCCAATTTGGTTGGGGGTGGGGAGTGCCCTTTCTGTCTGGCTCCTTTCATAAGAATTGACTTAGTCCTAATACACTGAAGATTCTTACTTATGATTGAATACTTTGAAACTCAGATATATCGAATATCCCTCTGCTTAAATCATAACAGTGCTATAAAATTATGGAAGCTTGCTGGAATGTCTTTAAGGGATAAACTGCAGGTGGAAATTTACCAGTGGTCAAGATTCTACTACCAGAAGGGGCAATTTTAGAGATCAGTATCCTCATTCTTATATTGATTTTGAAATACCATACCTTTTATTTCTTTGTGTGTGTGCCCTGATTGCTTTGTAAAAATCACGATGTAGGGACCTGTGTCTGGCTCCCTACATGGAGCTTGCTTCTCCCTCTGCCTATGTCTCTGCCTCTCTCTGTCTCTTATGAATAAATAAGAAATATTTTAATAAAAATCACAATGCATGTGTAACTAAATTCTCATTAAAAAAGTCCATCTTGACTAGCTCTCTTCTTGTTAACCCTGTTACTCTCATTTGTTCTTTCGATTTAACTACTTTTAATGGTTTACTGTTAACTCTTTATCTCCGTATCTGTATACATATTGTTTGGTTTCTATGCTTTTGATATAAATAGGATTATTGATATTTTGCAGCTTGCAGAATTTGGGGATTGTTGTCAGTAGTTAGGAACTTCCTCATTCTTTGTAGCTATTGCATAATGTTCCAAAGGGTGGATGTATCGTGGTCTAATCACTTTAATGCCTATTTCTCTGATATCTTTATCACCAAAATTGGTTGACAATCTTGGAAGTATTCTCATGAAGTGAGGTTCAGAGGACCCATAATCTCTTATAATCTTAAAAATTATGTTTGTGCTTGTGTTCTTTTTTTTTAATAGTTATATTTTTTTAAAGATTTTATTTATTCATGAGAGACAGAGACAGAGAGAGAGAGAGAGGACAGGCTCCATGCAGGGAGCCCGACGTGGGACTCAATCTTGAGAATCCAGGATCACGCCCTGGGCTGAAGGCGGCGCTAAGCCACTGAGCCACCCGGGCTGCCCAGTAATCAAGTCTTAAACTTTGTGTGTGAAAGCTTTTTTTTTTTTTTTTTAAACACAGAAGATGTATATATTTGGAGTGTTTAATTTAGTGTTGCTTAAAATAGAATGATGAATAACATGTCCAACATTTAATGTTCAGCATAGATGTGGGTAGGTAATAACACCTCACACTAAGCTACCATTACTGGGGTGAATGAATTAACCATATAATGATATATGAGAGAATTACAGTTTTTAAGCTCTCTATTTGAGCATAAGATACAACTAGCTAGGCCATGTCTATTTGACCCGTGTGGGGAGCCCAACGGGAGTCTTACTGGCATAAAAGAACAAAGATTTTTCTCATGAGATGTTCTGTGCCCTGTGCACAGAAGTATGAAATTCCATTAAAGGAAGCTGTTGGAGAGAAATAAAATGGCTACTTTCATGTAAGAGTAGGTAGGACTTACTCGTGATCCATGTAAGACAACACCTAAGTCTTTGGGAACAAAACGTGGTATGGGCTTGGTGATCCTGCATTAACATCCAGTAGTATAAGTACTTTTTATAAGTATCAAGCACATCCCCTTAACCAAGAAGTAAGTTGTTATTCAAACATTGCAACCTACAGACAAGTAAATTGTGATATTAGAGTAGAAAGTGGCAGGTTTGTGTTACACTGAGAGGCAGAGACACAGGCAGAGGGAGAAGCAGGCTCCATGCACCGGGAGCCCGACGTGGGATTCAATCCTAGGTCTCCAGGATCCTGCCCTGGGCCAAAGGCAGGCGCCAAACCGCTGCGCCACCCAGGGATCCCCTGATTAAGTGAATATTATGTGGGAAATGGATGTTACAAAAATAAAAGGAGCAATTAGGAGTGATCAAAGGGATATCAGCCTAATCTGTTCCCAATTTACAGTGCCCTATTAACATGATAAAAAGGACGCTCTTTAAATAGGCATCCCTCTATCAATTTCTAGTCCGTTTATATTTAGTAAAGACCACATCAGAAGCTTACCATCAGTAGATTAATTTCACCTTTTTGAAACAAAAGTAGGATAAAAGAATTGTGCCCTAATCCTACTTAAGCCTAGTTCTGAGATAGTTTATGTTAATTTTTTAAGCTGGCATTTTTAGATAATACTATAATGTGGTAGCTATATATTTAAAA